CGGATATTTAAGCGATGAACATCCAGCTGCGAGCAAAAGCAATTCTTACGAAAATGAAAAGTTTCCATTGAGTGATGGCTTGGACCAGAGTGGAGGAGTAAAGTGCAACATTTCAATTTTAAATGCGACGTCTGATAACAAAACACCAAAGAGAACAGAAAATGGCAACATGAACCAAATTGCATGAACCGATTCGCATCTTTTAAAAACTTTGAATAAATACTTCATCGCTTGCAAGTGAAAATAAAATGCAAACTAATTGCATGCACCAAGTGTAATTGAGTTTTTCATACATTCAGTTGGGCTGCTGCTGCTACGGCTGGTTTGCAACTGAAATCCATTTGAACTTGTAGCAGATGGTATGGTAATTATAAAACTATTTTGTGCGTTCAACACGTTGGCCACCAATTTTGCAGCGAAGCGAATTTTTCACTTTGAACTAACGTAAAAACAGCAGAGAGCATCACGCCTGATACAACAAACGTGAATGCCGAGGCGAGAAGAGAGAGAGAACGAAGAATTGCATACGCTGTGCATCGTTGCTGCAAAATCAAATTATTTATTTTTACACACCAAAAAGGTAATTATACGAAGCGCAGCGTTGTTTTCCTATTAGCTGTGTTCGCACCGGGTTTTTTCTCCATCGGTATCTATTTCACAATGCGTAACAGCAGTCGGTTAGAAACCATTTAACACCAAACACTAAAGTTATAGTTCTGCATTAAATTGCTCCAAACAAATTCGTACACGACTAAAACCAAATCAACGAGTACATACGATTTGCAAGCAACAGTCTTTTCAACCAACACATTTTCATGCTCACAATTTTTCATGCTGTAATCGGCTCAATTTGGTTATTTTTGAATTCTCACAAATGTACCTACGTACGACGATAACAAACGAAATGAATCAGTGAAATCCAGCAAAAAAAATGGTCGTTGATGATCTTTTAAGAAAGGAAAGCATCGTTTGACACTTGTGTACGCAATTCGCTAAAAGGAAAACGAAATATTATTATTTTTAGCTTGTTAGCTGCGACAAAATCCAATGCATATTCCATTTGTGTAACGCATCGTTTCCACGTCTATGGCATCTTCACGCTGTTGCTGTTTCTGCTGCTGCTACTTGTTCTTCTTCATTTCATTGTATTTACTTCTAGGTGAAAATCTATAGGGAAATTAAGTCAAAACCATAGCTCTTGATTCAGTGCGATTGTGAGCGCCCATAGACTTTTCCATGTTCTTTACATGAAGATTTTGATAAGGAAAATTTATTGATGCTTTTATTGTGTATCAAATCGTTTTCAGTGGCATGTACATTGCGTTTCCCTCTATCTTTTGCCGTGCACGCCATCAAAAATACCGTTATACCAACTTCAAAAATCATTGAAGCATTTCCTTTTGCTGCGACCACACATTTCACGTGTACAATTTTTCGTGAACATTTCTTTGAAACAGACTCTTTCTGAGAGAGGGAGAGAAAGTGGCAAGGTGCGTTGTGCACGTAAAAGGGTATGCCAATATTTCTTTTATTGGATATTGCTTTTCCGGATTTATGAATTTTCAAATATGTTATTCCTTACTTTTGCGTTATCAAGATATGATGAAGACGATCGGAAAAGTAAGAGCGTTTCCACGTTCACTTGCCAGTTTGCTTCATCTTTATTTCCATATTTGAATGAGCGTTGGCATTTATTTAATAAGAAATTTGAAATGTGAAATGGTTGTGCTACGTGTCGCGGTCCAAGTCCATTATTTTCTATGGAAAATTACGTGTTCTGCGCCGTGCTCCAGCCACAAAAAAAAAACTCGCTGAATGAATGTCATACTTGTATGAAGTAAACACGTATACATTCCAAGTAAGTGTAGCGCTCGTATCAAATTCGGCACTTTCTTACTTCAATTAATGTCAAGCATTCGATACTGAAATGAAATGGAAACATTGGCACGCAGAAGTTTTTTTTATGATTTCGATCCATTGTGTGCTTTGGTTGTGTGTGTGTGTGTGTGTGTGTGTGTGTGTTGTGCAATGCAGTTTGCATTTACGAAATTATACAATAACATTGATGGATTTTGAAATACGAGTAACTCAATTTAATTGTCTATTTGTATTTATTGAGAGCTTTAATTGAAAGCGCTTGCAATAAATATCAATGGCATGAAATGAATATGAAAAAAAAGACATCAAACCTCCATGAAAATAGGAGAACCGAATATCGTAGATCTTGTTGCAACCACCGGAGACATAAGGGGTGGGCCATTATTCGATTTTTCGGCTGCAATTTGGTTGGCTGCACCACGTTTATTGATTTGACATCAAACATATTCAGCTTCTTGACATATTTTCGTCGCTGCACGTATCTCTCTGTCTCGCGCTCGCTCTCGCTCTTTTCCGCCTCTCTCTGTCACTCATTCTCTTTTGCTTGTGCACCACATGACACAGACAAGACCATTCAACTTATACAATTTCGTGCACTTAAAATTGCTTTGCTGAAGATTATTTAGCAAAATAATAAAATCGAAACAATAAGTGGTTGAGTGTGTGGGGGACCACGAGAAATAGATAGATAGATAGATAGACGTAGAAAGAAAACATTGTATTTGCAATTTGACACGGAAACGATGTAGAGAAGAAAGTGCTAACAAATTTTAAAAGAAAAATGAAATATTTGGCAACGGTAACAGAGAGTGAGGGGAGAAAAACAACAATGAATGCATTACAACGCCCGGCATGAGCTCAACACTCCAACACTTATTCCAACAAAACCAGACGAAAAACGGTAGACCAAAATTTCGAATCGCGTATTTCGTTCACTTACTTTGACACAATACACTTACACACACGGATAATATCGCCCGAAGGAAAGTGTTCACTCTGCAGTTTCGCCACATACACACACCCACACTAAGTTTCACAAGTTACACTGGATGCTCTTTGTCCCTCTCTCCATGGCCAATGCCAACTCTTCTCATTTTTCTGAAAGCATTATGATTTTTATTCGTCGTTTCGTCTTTCGTTTGTTTGTTTTTTTTTCTTTGGTTGTTGGTTTTTCATGCAATCGTTGTTTATATGTGACTGACACCATAAAAGCGTCAGTGCATTGAGCGCGCTCTTGGCACTTGCCGGACGCTCAATGGCGTAACAAATCAAGCGTTGGTGGCGTGTCTAGTATACAAAACCAAGCGATTTTTTTTAAAACCCATTCTAACCAAGGAATGAGAGAAAGAGACCGACGATAAGGGGTTGGGTGAGTGGTACGAGCATTAAAATAACACTTGATACGAAATGAAAACAATTGTCAAATGTGCAGAATTGCGAGAAAAAAAGAAGAATGGCTGTGTAAATAGTTTGCTATTGTGTTAATAAAGCAACGAAAGCAATTACAATTCAGAGCATAATGGCTCTCATAAGATGGAAATCAGCCGGGCAAATGAAAATAAGGAAAATGCAAATAATTTTTCGTATTTAAATTGTTTAGTTTAGCCATCTTCAGCGCTTTGTACATTTTTTGCCTGGAATTTAAACAAAAGAACCGCTTTTGTTGTTATTGTAGTAGTTGTTGTCAAAAATTATTATACAACGCTTGCATCAATTACGAATGATAATAATTCAAATGGCATTCGACCGTTTCGGCAATACAAACAAAACGCTATAATTTTACAGCAGAAAAAACCCAAATGGGATGGCCACTTATTTACATTCTTAATCCCTGTGCCCGTGTACAAAGTTAAATTTGGGATTTCCGTTGAATAACATAACATTAAAGCGATGAAGGATTAGGGCGCCAATATTCCAAGTATTTTCTCTCTCTCTCTCTCTCTCGCTCTTCCACTCTCTACGATCGACATTCATTGACAAGCGGAAAAAAAGCTTGACCAATTTCAACCATTTCCCAAACAATAAAAATTATCAACTTTTTGTTGTTGCCCTTTTTTAATTTTTTTTTTATTTTCCCCACGAGGAAATCAGAACTGTAAAAACACACGTTGTGCTTTTTTTTCTCTTCTCAAAATTTAAAAAAATCAAACGAACAAATACTCAACCGGACGAGAAAAAAAAATAATTCCATTGAAATGGGTCATAACGTAAAAGTTAAAAATGCTCAAATAGTTCGAACGGAATAAATTTATGCTCAAAATTTGTGGAGGGTAAAAAAGAAGTGGCGATAGACAGAGCAACACACAAAAAGCTTGTTGGAAAATTATATGAACGCGATTGCATGCTTGAATTGAGACACAAAAAGAGAGCGAGCGTGAGAGAGGGAGAGAGAGAGAGAGAGAGAGAGAGAGAGAAATGATCGAGCAAAAACCGTCAATTTTGGAGTAATATCGAAACGGTTTAATGTGGAATAGCAACGACGAACCATAATTATGCGAGTGCTACGTTTAACTTTTGTCGATGGTATGTGTGTATTGGTGCTGTTGCTGCTGGTTGGTGGTTACAACCAAAACAATAAATTGGTGAAAACCAAATAGAGCAGCCAGTGGTAGCAAATTCAACGACCGCACTCAATGGCATAGTTTATTTTAGTTTTCGATGTTTGTGCGTTTGTTTTTTTGTGTGTCTCCCTCTCTTTCTCTCTCTCTCTCTCTCTCTCTCTCTCCATCTCCACTCTTTTCTCTATGGCTCGATTTTCGGTTGGTTGGTTTGCCGTCTCGATGGTGTTTCGATGCTTGAAATGCAAATACGTGGAGCATTCGTCATGTGTAAATTTTGTGCATTTTCGATGGTTCGAAATATACATGCGTTTTTTTTTTGTTTCTACTTCTTCATCATCATCATCTCTCTCTCTCTCTCTCTCTCTCTCTCTCTCTCTCTCTCTCTCTCTCTCTCTCTCTAGTTTCATGTTGATTTTCCATCTCTTTCTATGCATACGTACTTATTTATTCATTTTTTTATTATTCATCTCGTTGTTTTTCGCTCGAAAATATTTCAACAATATTCATAATAACGTAAATGACGTTCCTGAAGCTAATTGATCTTTATCGAATCTTCCGCAGACTCCAGAAAGGGTTAGAGCAATGAACGCTACAATAAAACTGTTACTCATAGTTCGGGAGCCCGTAACAAGAGCAATATCAGATTATACACAGCTACGAAGTCATGCGGCGACTGCAACTCTTCCACAACAACCACCACCGCCAGCAATAACGCAACAACAATCATCGCAATCATCAGTGCCAATGTCAGTGACATCGGCGGTCTCATCGTCAACACCGTCGCTGAACGCTTCTAAGTAAGTAGAAATATGTTACTCGAAAAAGTATACTTCTCACACATATTGCCAAGCATTGCCTAAGCCGTGCTACTACTGAGTGAACGTGCTTGAAATTTCTTTTTTTTTCGCGTGAGTTCGGTTGCACACACACAAACAACGATGCGACAGCCATATGTGATGTAGACGTTATGTTTGTGTCGTCACCCTATCGTTCGTTAAATTGTTTCATTTGAAATATACAGTCATGGACTAAATTGAGCGTACGACTGCCAGAAAAATGTATCGCGGACTATTTCATGAACCTAATTTATTTTTTTCAATCAATTCTTTGCACTGTTTGTTGCGTAATTATGTGAACTAATAGTAACCGAGAGAATTTTGAATTTTTGTTTTGGATTTTGTGATTTTTATTGAAAAATGTAGATGAATGTCATTTTTGTGCTGGACAAAATTGAGCGTACGGTCCGTTTAATATTTGTTTAAATAGAGAAAATTCATGGAAATTGAAAAAGTGGGGATACATTATGATGCACAAGCTCATGTTGCTTCGAAATGGTATATATATTTTGCTACACCGAACCGTTGTTTGGGAAATGGAGACGGTTAAACTTTTTTTTTATTTTTCACTTTTATCACCTTCAACACATATGAATATTTCTTGAACCAAGAATGATATTGAAGCATCTTAACCGGCGTTTGAAAGCTTGAGGTTAGACCAACGAAATGCAATAATAACCAACCAAATATTTCAAGTACTTTAAAAGATACAGCCGTGAAAGTATGACAGCTGATGTCAAAATAGCGCCATTCATTTGACATTTGAGGTTATAACTCACAAATGGTAAATTATTTTGACATCTTGTCTTGATCAAATTTACTCTACTCAACAAGTGCTACAACTATGCTGAACATGTCAATCCCAAAAACTATTTCCCTTAAAAAATACACGCTGAAGTACCACAATGTGGAGTCCATGTAGTATATGGATCATTTCGTATTAACGGATTTTTGGCTGACAAGATGCTGTTTTTTGGAGATGACTAGAAGAGATAATTTTATGTTCACATCAAGAACTGTAAATTTGCTCAATATTTTCTAGCAAAAAAACAACATCTTGTCAGCCAAAAATCCGCTAATCCCAATGAGGAAAACGTTACAGTTGTACACATTCTGTGCACGGCCAATGTAATTTCTCCATAAGCTGTGCACAAAATGTATACAACTGTAACGTTTTCCTCATTGGGATACGAAATGATCCATATAAGAGTATACTACATGGACTCCACATTGTGGTACTTCAGCGTGTATTTTTTAAGGGAAATAGTTTTTGGGATTGACATGTTCAGCATAGTTGTAGCACTTGTTGAGTAGAGTAAATTTGATCAAGACAAGATGTCAAAATAATTTACCATTTGTGAGTTATAACCTCAAATGTCAAATGAATGGCGCTATTTTGACATCAGCTGTCATACTTTCACGGCTGTATCTTTTAAAGTACTTGAAATATTTGGTTGGTTATTATTGCATTTCGTTGGTCTAACCTCAAGCTTTCAAACGCCGGTTAAGATGCTTCAATATCATTCTTGGTTCAAGAAATATTCATATGTGTTGAAGGTGATAAAAGTGAAAAATAAAAAAAAAAGTTTAACCGTCTCCATTTCCCAAACAACGGTTCGGTGTAGCAAAATATATATACCATTTCGAAGCAACATGAGCTTGTGCATCATAATGTATCCCCACTTTTTCAATTTCCATGAATTTTCTCTATTTAAACAAATATTAAACGGACCGTACGCTCAATTTTGTCCAGCACAAAAATAACATTCATCTACATTTTTCAAAAAAATCACAAAATCCAAAAAAAAAATTCAAAATTCTCTCGGTTACTATTAGTTCACATAATTACGCAACAAACAGTGCAAAGAATTGATTGAAAAAAATAAATTAGGTTCATGAAATAGTCCGCGATACATTTTTCTGGCAGTCGTACGCTCAATTTAGTCCATGACTGTAGTTGAATCCCCGCGAGTGTTTTGGAGGAAAGTTCAACTTCTAATTTTGTTTCTTGTTGTTTTTTTCTCTCTTCTCTATCCTTTTCCGGTAACCGGTACACTCTACGAACATTTGGTGTGTGTGTGTGTGTCGTTGGATGGATTCGATTGAATTACCGCTAAATGCACTCTTCCATCATCATCAATCATGGGCTTTATTGGAAATCGAATTACAAAATGGTCCATTTGATCGAACCATTTCATAATCATTTCGTTTCCGATTGTGGACGAACAACACACATTTTTCGCTTCATCATCTGAAATGCAAATGTTTGGCCGGACCGAAAAACCCACCACACCGACTAAATACACCGGGAATTCAACAAAACGCCGTGCACCAACATCCTCATCGTCGTCGTCGTCGTCATCATACAGAACATTCGAAGAACTGGCCATACTTCCGAACGGTACGGTTAATGAAGCGTATCGACCATTAACCATATCCATGTACCATTTGCACATGCATCGATGGCTCGAGGTATTTTCACGTGATCAGCTTTTAGTTGTGAACGGTGACCAATTGATTGAGGATCCGGTATCACAGCTACGACGAATTGAAACATTTTTAGGTATGTATGTTGCGATTTAGCCAAATTACAAAATCGAATCGACGCCGAGCTGTCGAATGCACACACAATCAAAATTTATTATAGAATGTGTTGCTTGACACTCGACAGTAAAAATAGCACTCGACTAAATCTTGAATCATCGAATCATTTGAACATTTTGAACAAACAACCAAATTTTTTTTCCCACTTATTTTCTATGTAACAAAATTGAACAAAAAGTGCATTATTTATGATTTCATCATTTGAACACGACGGCTGCATTAGTTCATGAATAAAGCGAATTGCAAAGAAAAAAAATCAGCCTACTGCACTGTTTGAATTAATTGAAGCTCTTGATTTAATGCAACAACAAAAATCCGCCTCAATCTCTTTTACAACATATAAAAACACATCACGATTTTTTATGTACTGGATCTCTTCAAGTTGTTTTTCCCCCATTTTTACTAGCAATTTTTAATCAAAATTATATAATGATATACGTGAAGCGAAGAAGAAAATTTGCATATAATGAAAAAAGCGATGAAAGTCATTATGTAGTCGTCCTTGGAAACCAGTCATAGACATTGTGTGTGTATGTATACACGGAATCCGTGTCTCTGTGCACTTCACTGGGGGAAGTATGTGCGAATGAGTACTTGTGTGTACTTTTGCATTTTCCTCGCGGAAAAATACGGATTCCAGACCGGACGGCTTCCTTTTTTCTACCGCTCGTTCTCGATGAAAGACGCATAGCGTCGAGAGAATACGAACAAGAGTGCAAGGAATATATATTGGCGAATGGTGGTGGCAGACGATAATTGGGTATGAGTGGAGGGATGGGGTGTGATTCTAAAATACTGCTACCAACATAATTACATTTCATGGTAATTAGCGTTAAAACAAAACGTAGACGTATCCATCTTGTACGAGGCAATAACGAATAATTTATCCTTTCCTTGATTGCAACTGGCGTCGAACATGCATTTTTTTTCTGCTGTTTTTGTGTCTCTCCACCTCTTGCTCTTTCTATTTTTTTTTCGCTCGCTCGCTCTCCTTTGCACACAATAAAACTTTTCAGCGATGAAGAAAACGCGATGTTCATTTGAACGGTTTTTTTCATTCACCGCGCACCATTCGTTTTTTTTCGACAATCGAGACATAAACAGAGAACAACAAGCAAGGGCTGAAGAGAGCGAGAAAAACCGTGAATCATACAGAAGATCGATTGCAAGTTTTTTTTTTCGCTGATATTCGTGATCAAAAGTTATTTACTTCTAAGCTCGACGAGAGCACGATAACAGAGACAGAAGAAAAAAGAAACGTTGCAGTTCACATCGCATGCAGTTTAGCCCTTATTCTGTTGTGATGTGCAAATCGTCGAACTGACAAAAAGGCTATACACAGTATACAAAAATCGTCAAATCGTTTCGCAGAGTTGGTTCATGTTTTTGCAAAGTTCTTCTTGGCCAAAACACGGTTTTGCGAGTAAACAAGAGAGAAGGAGAAGGCAAGAAAAAGAGAGAGGGCAAAAGAAATGGGAAAGAAAGAAGAAAAGAGAAGGCGAGAGGGAAACACAAGTGGTTTTCAAGTCGAAAATTTCGACAATATTTTATTATTTGCACGATTTTTTTTTAAGTCGGGGTGAAAATATCCAAGCGATTTTATTTCAAGGATTCTTCGAAATGCTGTTGAGTCAACAGCAGCAGCAGTTTTGGTATCGAAAGAAAGAGAGAAGGAGAAACAGATAAAGTAGAAATGGGAATAGTACAGCCATTGGTTGCAATCACAAGCGTGTGCGCGCGCTTCAACGGAGTGAGACACATTTTCAATGGGCCATTCGATAAACTGTAATAAAATTGCATTTAAATATACAGTTAAACGAATTTAAATAGCAGTCAAGCTTTCAAAGAAACTTGCATGTTCCGTCGTAAGGCGAATATTGAATTGTACATTGATGTTATTGGTCTACTCGAGGTTTGCAATTTGTGGGTGGGGTTGGAGTGGCTGGGATGGATTTCTCCCGGGGAACGGTCGTTTTATTGTCGTATTTGTCGATTTTGTGATATGGCGCATAAATCGTAAACTTTTTAAATTTTCTTTCTTTCAAACATTCTGCCAACTAACTCAATCTATTTATTTCTCGTTCTTTCTTTTATATTTCATTTTATTCTCCTTTTTCATACTGTCGTTACTTCTGCGATAATTTCCAATATCGAAAAACCCCGGGCGAACGCTGTGCTGTGACTTTGAACGTGGCCATGTTCGATCGGTTGTCTTGATGGTGGTTTGCGTTTGTGTCGCTTTAATTGGTTATTGCACCCACAGGAATCGAGCATCGTATATCGAGACGCAATTTTTATTTCAACGAGACTAAAGGTTTCTACTGTTTGCGAAATGACACGGCTGATAAGTGTTTGCGTGAAACAAAGGGCCGTAAGCATCCGCACGTTGATCCACAGGTGATATCAAAATTACGAAAATTCTTTGCCGAACACAATCAGAAGTTCTACGAATTAGTTGGCGAAGACTTGGGATGGCCCGAAGAATAAGCACAACAAACGGACGACAACAATAGCCAGCAACAATACAAAATGAATTCAAAAACCAAGTTAATCGGAACAATCAACCAATAGCACTAGCAACAGCAGCATCGTTGATAATGATTATATTGAATGGCGTTTTTATAACTGTAGACGATATATCGAAAATTGAAAAGAAACCAACCAGTGGTACAATTTTTTAGGGATATCTATAAATGGGTAAGGTGTCACCAGTGGAAAAAAAAGAAAACATAGCAACGGTGAAATGACTGAACAGAAACGAGAAATTGATTTTATACGTGATGGAAACGTTCAGTCGATGTAAGCTCGTAGATTGTCGATTTGGTTGTACAATATATTTCCCCTTCCAAACAAAATTCACGCAATAAATGGGTTTTTCTTTTTCGAACATTATGAAACTAAAACCGAACGAAAAAAAAATATGTGCTAGAACATTTGGTTGATGCACAACAACATATTCGAACCAATCGCCACTCGTGACAAAAATAAACGAATTATAATAATTGTGTAATGGAAAAAAAAGTAGCGATGAGAACAAATTGATCGATCTGTCGTTTGATTAGCACATGCTTGATATGATGGGTTGGCGTTGAATAGTTGAGCGTTTCATTGCCAGACAAGCACCTTTATGGATTTCATTTTACCTTCACGCTCATCGTGTGTATTAGTATATCCGCTCTTTCCATACCCATTATGTCATGCTCATGTTTTTAGAGAGAGTGAAAAAAAACGAAAAGAAACTAAGCGAAAGAAAAATAAAATAGGGACATTCCATATGTTGCATTAAGTCTCAGCACGAAATGGAAACTAATCGATTTGAAGCGGACATTTATCATAATCACATCTGCTTCACCACTCGCTCGTTCGTTCGGCTCCTCATTCCCACACCATATCATCTGAGTGAATTTTGATGGAAATAAATGTAGAGAAATGAATTTCTCTATGTTGTGCTATTTTCTACAATGGAAAAACGTCGAAAAGGAGCACAAAAAGGCGTCTCTCCCTAACAAATGCGCCATAATTATATGTGTGTAATTTCATTTGCTTGATCCACGAATCGTGTATAAAATGGTCAACAATCGTGTCTTTTTTTTGTGTTTTCTTCTTCGCCTTTTTCTCCACTTTTCGTTGAATGCTCAACTTTTTGTTTTCTATTTTGAATTTTCTATTTTATATCAAACCTCCCTATTCACTGACATTGATGGCGGAAAACTTGAGAACACAAAACAAAAAATGAAAACAACAACACATATTGCGTTGCTTTTACCCTTATAATTGAAGCACTTTTTCGTTTTTATTTTCCTCTATTTTTTGCTCGTTCGTTCGTTAAACCCTTGTTTTTCTGACGATATACCGAGTCTCTTTTCATCAAGAAAAAAGTGAATGCTTTTCGCTTCAATCGCACTGAATGATTCACTGTGAAATTCAAGAGGGCTTTCAATGCGCCGTATAGCACATATACCATACCATAAGAGCTTTATAAGAGCGTTGACTCTATATTTACATTTCCACCAACAGTGAATACAATTTAATCAATTTAATTAATTTGCTGAGTTCGGGCAAGAGTCAGCTTCAGAATACTGGTATAGCGGCGCATTTAATGAATGTGATAGAGAGAGTGTGTATGTGTTTGCTCAATAAATTCAATAAAATGAGATCAGATGTAATTAAATCGTAAAGATGCACGATCACCGTTATCAACATTTTTCTCTCGAAATGGCCCTTCCTATCAATGAGCACGAAAACGGACTCCATAGTTGAGTTGTTGCTTTTTGTGTGTGTTGTCAATAGCAAACGTAATCACATTGTTGAATGCAGTCGAGTTAAATGGCGAAATGGGCATAGCATCAGGATTTTGTCTCATATTGGTGTCATACATAATGCATGTCGACGTGATGCGCCACTCACTTGTATTTTTTCTCTCTTTCTCTCTCTGCTCCACTGTGCTACTCACTGTAATCTATTTGAAGAATCCAACATAAAAAGCACAGCAGACATCACGAGCAAAGCATTGAAAATAGGCTGCGCCAGTGCAAGATTCAGAGTAAAGAGAGGCAGGAAAAGGGTCAAAGGAGAGAGAGAGAGAGAGTAAGCTTCATATAAATCATTGCTTTTGCCCCATTTATAACATGCAATCACTTTGTACACCTTCTTGAAATTATTTGACTTGCCATTTATGAGCAACGAAATGAAATGATTGTATACAAACGAAAGCCAATCTATGGTTCTGCTCTGTTGTCCGGACCAAGTGCCAAGTTTACGAGTAAAGTTATACAGAAGAAAATCATTGCTCGCCAATTGAAAGTGATATAATGTTGCTGATATTCAATTCGCACTCGCACCGAACAAAGATCCAGCCACCGTCGCTGCCGCCAATCCAATCGTTTGGGCAAGAACAGTTTACGTTCAGTTTGGAGCAGAAGAGATAGCGGGTAAAATGCCATTTAATTTATCAAGTGCTATCTTGTTATCGCCGCTGATTTATTGAATATATTACAACATCGACTCTTCAGCCGAATACTATTATTATAATAATCGATGCGAATGCATTCACCCGTTCACCGCGTGACTTTTGTCCATGCCGCGCTCCAAACTTACTGATAAACAGAATCATAAAGTGCTTTCATTTGTGCAATTTTTATCGCAAATGCTGTCGCCGATGTTTCGAAAAAGAATATACTTCTAAGTGAAAAGTTTGGTACGAGGAAATTTATTCACGTCTCAACGTCAACCAATCGACAACTACGTGCTACAATTAGAGGAAAAAGAAATTTAGCGAAGAAAAAGGATGAAGAAAAAAACGCATAAAAATGCTGCAGAAACAAAAAACTTAGATAATTTAAGATGAATGAGAGAGAGAGAGAACCTTATAAGCAATATCTAACATTTATTATCGACTACGCGCAGCGAAATCAAGTCCAGAGAAGAAAAAAAATTCATTTTAAAATTGAATTGACAATGTTATTATGTTTCATTTGGAAGCGACAATGTATAAAATAAGCGATGAAATTTGAGAGCATCCCTGCGTCTCAACAACAAAAAACATATCAACAAGTACACAAATATCAAAACAACAACAACCAGAAACCTAAACATATCAAACTAGGCGATAGTTTAGCAAGTGAAAAAATGTAAAGAGAATTATGGATTTCAAATGTGAAAAACCACAACTAATTTTAATTGTTTTAAGCGTTTAAAATTGAACTATTTACAATTTTAAGAAATGGCATAGACACAAACAAAGACATGTCTCAAAATGGTTATTTAGATTATTTTTTAGCGTGTAAGAATTTCATATCGAAAACATATCAAAGCAAAGTGAATGGAAGAAATGAAGAAGATAAAGAATAATCATGATGATACATATCCGAGGCAAAAAATTACTACGAAAAATTTGTTCAACAACTGTAAACTCGTAAACGAAATGACTTTGAACATATTCTATTGGAAACGATTGCATATCATAAACGCAGTTGCTATTAAAACAACACATTCGCATAAAATTTCGTGTTGAGTCTTTTAAGCTTAAGAATTATAGTGAAATCATACAGAGTTTTTTTCTCCCTTTAGATGATAAGAAATTGATTTATTTATTTATATGCGATAAAAAAAGATGAAGAAAGACAAAAAAAAAAACAAATGGAAAACACACACGCTCACACACACAAAAGGATGTGTCTGAGCATTACGACGAATGACAAATTACATGCATATGCCCGAAATTTAAGGAAAAAAAAAACAACAAGTTATTTTGTGAATGTTTTCGTTACACACTCATCCTTAGGTTAGAAAAAAGGGGCCCAACCCTTTAAAATGGGCCATTTTTTGACTATTTTGTTAAAAGAAAGTAAAACTAGAACCGCAAGAAAATATAATGGAAGAAAAAAGAGTTGTTCAACATTTTTCCATTGAATGAATGCCATATGCTTGGCAAATTTGTACGGATCAATGTGATTTTTCTCTAGAATAAGGTCAAACAGCAACAAAACATAGAAATCATTAATTATTCATCAAATTTCACGAATTACATTTGACGTTACAGAAAAACCGACCGAATAAAAACAGAACAAGTATTCCAAATGCTAAGAAAGCCACCGTTGTTGAAATTGCAATCAGATTGTTTATGATCGAATAATCACCCTCAGCTTACATACATACACACACGCACACTTGCATTACAACACATCGCTAATGAACTTAAATGGTTGTTAAATCGAATGGAAACAAATGCAAAAAACCGACCATTTTCATACCAACTAATTTCAATTTTGCTTGGTTTTAGAACATTCATACATACACAATTGACACAAGCGAACGCTATTTGAAATATCGGTATATATTCAACCTCCGACGTGCATCAAATCGTGCATTTTATTTTTATCTTCAACTCCGCTTTGAAATCCTCATTTCGAAGAATGGTTTTGATAGAGATGAGTCAGTATTTTTGCATGCGATGCTCACTAATATCAGAAGATTGAAAAAACAGTGCAAGTTTTAAAAGTTATACTCCATACGGATTCAGTATCGCACTCGAACCGTTTTTCTCTCGCTAAGCCATTCTACCTCGAGATGTGTCGATGTTTTAGCAGCATAAATTGTTGTACTTATTTTCTGGGGCACTTATCAAATCATCCATATCTATCTATTGTCCATTTCGTTGTTTGGTCGTGGTTTTTTTTGCATCCCCTTTTATTCAGCAAACATTTGAAATGGTGATTCGAACAGAATTTTCAACGTAATGTATACAAATAATGGTCTTTTTTTGCAAATCGATACATGTAGGTTCATCATAAAGCTAAGTACACAGTTCCTCGTGAAATGAAAAAATTTCTCCGGTGAAATGTTCACAGGTGATATCTGTATGGTGTTTTTTATTTTCGAATTGCAAGCATAATGATTTTTGATGTATGAAACAGTTAACTCCCTCCAATATCAACACAACACATGAACAAATTTGAATTTTGAATTCTTTCTTTAATGTATTTTGATCTTTCTTATTTTTTCACGGCCGTGAAAAAAATTTCGCGTACATTTTGCACGCGAAATATTTTTCACGACCGTGAAAAAAATTTGTTCAGACAAAACACATAGAAGAATGAACTCAAAAACCGAATTTGTTCATATGTCGTGTTGATATTGGAAGGAGTTAACTGTTTCATGCATCAAAAATCATTATGCTTGCAATTGGAAAATAAAAAAATACCATACAAATATCACCTGTGAAGATTTCACCGGCGAAATTTTTTCATTTCACAAGGAACTGTGTACTTAGCTTAAATTCATGTTCAATGCTCTTAAATTACAATTTCATTCGATTAATGCAAATGTTTCGAATTTTTTATTCAATTCATTCAGCATGGTTCATTGTGGTTTCAACATCATTATCGTGCCGAACAGCAACGGAACGAAATTTTTCATTCCTGCAGACATAGACAGAAAAAAATAAAAATGTTCAATGCCATTGATATTCATTCGAATCGATTAAATTACATGTATCACATATCACTAGAATCGCCAGAATCCAAATTAACACACACACACATACATACACATACATATGAAATCAACAGAAAAGCAGTTAGAAAACAACGAAATTTTGTCATTTACACGATTTTTATGCCAACCAAAACAAACAAACTACGGCAAAAGCACCTTTCTTTTAGAACCAATTTTCAAAATGATCATATTAGAAATTAATCGTTATTTAAGATATTAGACATTATTCACATGTTAATGGCATTCCGATTGCGCATCATCGTTTTTTCTCTTTCAACTTAGTTTTCAATCTGTCGTGTTTGTGAACGAAATATCTGTTTTTCTTGTTCTTTCTTTTTTGGAATTTGTTGCTAGTACGCGCTGCCAATGCAATTAAATATCTAATATGAGTGTAACGAACCGTGTTAAAAAATTGATACAATTTAATGCATTTTATTTATGGAATTGATTGTTTGTTGACACATTCAACCCCAACTCCCTCGTTCCTCCTGATTTTTACTATGCTCAATCGATTCGATTTTAAACCAGTTCAATTCGAATTTGATTTGTTTTCTGAATGTTTTAACCAATCGGATCAGGTGAACAACGAAACAGTTAAATAGGCTCATGATTCGAATCATTTTCTTAGTCTTACATGACTGTGTTGTTAGTTATCTTTTGGCAAAAGGTCATTTTGTCCTGTCCAAACATAATTTTCGTTTTTTTGTTCAATTTGAATAGATTTTCTTAAAAAACCAACGCATTTTCAGCAAATGTCGTTCAAATGCATTTTATGGTTTCCATATTTTTTTCAAATTTTTCGACTGTCAATAGAGACAAAGGTAAAATAAATCAAAATTAAAACTTAAAACATTTTCTCCTTTCTCCACCAATTCCATACCGTATAGACCATACGAAACCCTATTTTAATTTATCAAATAAAACATTTTGCCAATAGAAAAAACATTCGACAAACAAATATGAGCAATATATCACCATTTACTCCACATCCGCCATACACATACGTATACAGTCAATGAATTTTACGAGAAAAACAATCGTGTCATACAAACCCAATTATGAAATAGTTTGATAAGCAATTGGCACCAATAGTTAAGTGATTTATTTGTTTACAATCTTTGACGACGACGACGACATACCACAGCAAACAGAACAGATGAACGAAAATATTATGCGAAAATTGTAATCAAATAGTTGAAGTAAGTTGTTAAATCTTTTTGGATAAATTCAATATTTACAATTGAACCAATGACCAATTTCATTATCAAACCAACAAAACCAATTTTTCGTTCGCCATCAACACCAATTTCACTCAATCGTTTAGTTTTTCATTGCTGAATTGAGTTTGATTGATTTCTAAATATCCGTAACTAAAGAAAAAAATATTTTGATATTTTTTTCTTCTTTAAATTGTCAAATCTAACGGAAAATGGATATATTTTGATAGGGCAAAAACAATGCAGTCAATGGCTGAGAAAAAGTTCGATTTTTGATTCGTTAATTTTTTTCTCAATAAAAACAAAGAATTTATTCAAGACAGAAACAGGCACATACACGGTGCTCAATATAGCGAACCTAAACAATATAGCGCTAAGGACAAATGAAGAGCGGTTCTTTTGTTTTCTTTTTCTTGCAAGATCCAATGCATTTTGAATAACATTAGAATAGCCAATTGTTGAAGAGTTTTTCTTGCATTGTTTCTGTATTTTTTTCTTGATAACTTTTTCTAATTCGACCATTTGTTTTTTGCTAATTATTAATTTTTCTTATAAAAAAACGACATAAATTCCACAATTTTCGAAAACATATCTTTAAACCAAACCAAAAAAATAAAAATAAAAAAATAAAATAAATCAATCCCAATTTTACTCGTGATTTTATCTGGTTTTTATAAAGACAACAATGAAAAAAACCAAAACCCAATCTACTTACTAAATGTTTCAATGTATAAATGTGTGTGTATTTTATTGTAATTTATTCATTGTTAACTACAAACCTACATGTTGATAGTGAATTAAGGAAACAAACATCAGAACCACACGAACAAAAAAAGCAACAACAACCACTATGTATAACACAACACATTTTCTCTATCTGGGTGTGTGTTTATTTTTTAAATCTTCAAAACCAAAGACAAACTAAAAAAAAAAAACGATTCGGTCAAAACATATGTGATGAGCACAAACTAAACCTAAAACAAAAAAACATATCAATTTACTATCGAAATACATATCAATTACAAACTTTAAACGAAAAAAACAAAAATCTCTTAGATATTTACAAAATGATGAAGAAGAATTATGAAGAAAGAAAGGAATTATTAACATACATTTTCAATTCAGAATAGAACATTTTATTTATAGTTAAATTTTAAATTTTATTTGAATAAAAAGAAGCATTTTTTCCTCTATATTCCAAGGAAGAAAAATAAAACTAGAGAAATGATTGAACAGATTGAGGAGAAGAAACAATCGCCCGCCCTATTTCAAATCAAATAACATATCATTTGCAATGTTGTGATCGAATGAATTTCCAAAGCATAAAATATTTCGCGGATGCAATGTAGACTATTTAACAACCTTTCCAACTAACAATTTACTAAGCAACAAACGAAATTAAAGTGATGGCTGCACAAAATAACCGAGAACATCATGCTTGGAGTGGGAGACGATAAAAAATGCACGCGCATCGATCGAAAATGATTTATAGAAAAACCAAAATAAAAGAATATTTTTTATGATTAAACACGACACAGCAACTAATTTATATAAACTTAGATCAATTAAGAAGCTCCAATTCAGTTTTCCATTAACTTAAACTCAACTCGATATGCCAACTGAAAATAACGATAACCAAAATCAATTCCGTTCTATTGGCCACACTAATCAGTCAACAACATTGAACGTCATTTTCCGATTTTGACGGGCATTTTCTACGACCACTCCAGCGAAATGATCCGTTATTAATGTTCTCGTCTCAAAATGTGCCGCTATCATTCAATGGTCAAAATCAATGAATGTGTCGACAGAAAGTGTAATATAATCTATTTAAAGATTTTAATGTAAATACCACGTAAGATCTAATCCAACAACAAAAGAAAATACCCGCAGATTGATTTAAAAAAAAACTCAAAATATTAAAAAAAATTCAAATCAATTCATAATGATAATTATAGAACAAATACTAATAAAATGCAGAAAAAAAAGTTTGAAAAACAAAATGGTATTCTTCATTTTTCGCTGTCTTTTTGTTCTGCTCGAAGTGGAAATCAGAAGGTCTGATCGAATTAAAAGGTGAGTAGTAAAAATGAGATGTTTGATTCAATTACATTGATTATTTGGCATTGAAAATTCGGATTCGTCACGAGATAAATATATCCCTATATGCTCAACTCCTTACAATTAACTTATGATAGTTTATTCAAATTTCGAGTTGCAAATTTGCACAAATCGTATGATAATCAAATTCAAGAATCGAATCGCCAAGAATAATAAGTCGTCAGATGTTGTTGAAATGTATGCAGAAGCAGAGCTTTGATCTATCGTATTTAAAAAAAAATTCATTTTAGTTACTACTCGCAAATATAAAACTTTATACTGAATTGCGATTTTTTCAGTCGGTAATTACAAGTTGTAGTTTACAATCAAAATTCTGTGATTTCCTTTTGCGTGCGATGAACTCAAGTTCCTTGTTTTCGGTAAAAGTTTTTCAAACAGTGTGATGTTGTCTGGGATTCATTCTTAGCGCTTCAATTCAAAGTTTTGAATATTCTTTAGTCACAACATGTGGAAGAGTAGCTGCAGCTTTTTTGGCAAGAGCAAACACCGTTCTTTCCCATGAACCACCTGAAAATACGAAACGAATATTATTTAATAGATGGAAGCGATTTTTTAATCAGAATATTTAAAAAAAAAATGACTTTGTATCGGGATATTGGATTGAACTGATTTTCACCCACCTCTTCTGAATTAAACGCAATACGCGCGGTTGCAAAACAAACAAAGCAAATATAATGATTCCTTGTGCGCTGTTGAGAATGTCAGAGAACAGGAAATAGGGACCCCATCTTTTAAACACTGAAATTGACTCCATGATTCCCGTCAGACCCATCAATATGAACAGACGTAAAAAAAGTAATAAGCTATAAAATAAATATCGTTAATTCATTGCTGAATCATCATTTTTTTTGTTATATACTTTGCCGTTTCCTTTTCCATACTCTCTATCGTTTGTTTACTATTCTCTAGCGATAGCACATTTCGTAGATGTCGCTTAGTTTCTCGAATTTTTATTGCAATCAAAATGAAAAAAATGCCGTTCGTGCTGAATATGAGAACGAGTGGTAAACTATAGAATATAAGTTTCGACGTCCAATCGTCTGGAATTGATTGAATTTTCAATGTCTGCATTTAAATGTTATGGAACAGTCGGGTATCTTACTCTTGAGAAAGCAGCCCGTACTGCCACCAAAGCCTGGTTTAACATAATATGGAACCGATTCAATAGAATCGAGAATATGTCCGGTAGTCAAAAGTAGACATGGTAAGCCATGTGCATACAAAAAGCATAAGAATAGCCGCTTTGTTTCCGAATAATGTACAGTTGAAACGGGGGATCTATCGAAAAATTATAAATTGATATTAGCACAGAAATCTCAGTCGATCTGTTTGATATACAGTAGAATACGCGTGGGCGAACTGATCCAGAATATTCTAAATCACTGAACCACTGACTCATTTTTGGTGAATGATCAGAAGTACTCTGAACTGCCGACCGAAAATGATTCAGTTTATTCCGTTTATTCTGAATCGTAAATCGAAAATGACCCACAGTTTTAAGGATCACAGGTTCCGAAAAAAATGAATCCTGATCTAGAATATCGTGAATAACTGTTATTCGGGCATCTTCTTCGTACGATTCTACTGTACTGTCATACGGACGACTCGATCGAACAATGTTCATGAAATATTCTTACTTGAAAGTTTTCCATAAATGAAAGCTGATTACATTTAGCCATAAAGAAAGTGACAGAATTAACGAATACAAAATTGATGCAATTGTTCTACAAATCGGCGGCTCCACATAATGCCACGCAATCACTTGTGTCCATGGCTGTATCATGTAGAATATTATCATTAAAGCGACAAAACAAAGAAAACATTTTCCATGAAAGTTTCGCAATTCCGGTATACTGGCGTAGACTGAAAATGTGATCATCAGAAATGGTATCGACGCATACATAACTATGCACGCAAATAAAATCGAAATGAGAAGCTATGAATTATGGTTCAATTGTCTAAAGAAAATTGTGTCTAAAAATAATAATTGAAATTCTATATTCTTATTGCTTACAATATGTCGCAATGACTCCTCCTATTGAATGGGAACCTATTTTCTTATGTTGATCTTTGCATAAATTTCCCTGTGAAAGAATTTCATTGTTTGGGCCTGAAGTGATTGCAACGCAATAATCAATACGCTCTACGGACCCAAAGCCATGTGAAATGGATCCATTCTAAAATATTTACAGTTTCAATTTAATCTTCAGCGAAACAATAATAAAAAATGATATGAATAATGATAATGATTTATAGGGCTTCAGGGGAGTAACTTCATTTCAATTACTTTGTACACTTTAAAATCCTCGGCGATAGTAAAATGTTTGCATATTCGTTCGATATATGCAAAATGTTCATTCAAATTGACGATGTTCGTTTGATTATTGTCATCAATTATTTGGCTTTGAATATTTTTCGCTGCTTCATTTTTATGGCATGCCACGCCCAGTTCGGTGGTGTTTTCGTTCACAAATGATCCATAGGGACAGCACAGCCGAAGGCATGGTCGAATGTTACAAAGACAACCGCGAATGTAAGGCTTCACTTTAATGGGTTTTGTTCCGTTTTCCATCGAATAAACTATTTTCGCGTATTGATTGAACGGAAACTCCAGTCCATTGAATGTAATACTCCCATTCGAGTGAGATGCACCATCGGTAATATTAATTGAATCATAGAAATGGCATGGCAATTCCTTTCCAAAGAGAAAAGCAACACTCATATTTGGGATCATTAATACAATTAACCACAATCGCAACATGAAACCGCACTTTAAACTTAAGCACACTATTTATCAAATTTATTTGTCTATTTTTGATAAGGGAAAAACGGCTCGAGATTTATTTGAACGGAAATCTATGTGTTAATTTGTTTTCATAAAAATCTATTAATTATAAACCGAAAACTTTCTATTTTGTCATAAAACTGCTGTTGTTTTCCAGAAGGCACACCTATTCATCATGAAGCTCCCAACAAAACTGTTAGGGCGTATGAACTGTAGTCATAGTACGTAAAATGTAATCAGCTATTTTTTTTCATTAGAATTAATGTTCGCCGAAATCCATGTGATAAAAGAATTAATTCCAGTATTAACGATATTCAAAATTGTACTGATTCAGCTCTGTGGCTCTACATTATATTTGATTCATTTTTTGTGTGGACATTCATTCGTTTTAAAATAATGTATGAATAATACTCTCTGATACAACTGAACTACATTTAACCATGTGTTTAAGACGCAAATTCTCAGTATAGTGTAATCCATTTTATCGCGCACTCCCAAACCATACATAATTATCATTATGGCTTTCAAAAATAGTCTCGCACGCTATCAGCAGCAGTCATCCTGCCTGATTGATATACTCCAAACGGATCTTGACACGACAGAGTACACGTTATGACACATTGCGTGCTGTGCATTCATCGACTTGCGCACAGCCTTTGAAACGGTCCCTTACCGACTATTTACCGTTACAACATAGCGATATAACATGCGGAAATGCACTCGCAATTTGTAAAGACTAATTGGATTATAAAAGCCGAATAGTTGAAATAAGCAGGGAGTACAGTAATTCAATTGTCAATTGCAATAAATTTTCGTTGCTACTAGGCAACAACTTGCGATTCGTTTTCTTCATTCTTTCCATAAATGCAATCTTCGGCTTAAAACTTGATAGAAAATGGACTCTTTATGGTGACGAAGCCACTTATTGCAATACCAATCTAACCGCACTTACCAGTCGAATACAAGAAGACCTTGATTAACGGTAGGGTACATTGCTGCAGGTTGAGAATTGCTGCAGGTTGAGAATCGTTACTTTTTTTCACTATACGTGATCATATCGCCATCGGAATAGTTTTGAAAATCTAATTTTGAGGCCTGTTCTTTTTTAAAAATTGTTCCGACAGAACTGGCGTTTGTTTTGATACACTTCCAATACGCCCATGAATTTTAATGCGAAAACTTGTCATTTTAGTTATTGCCGAATGTCATAAAGTGATTATTTTGCATTGAAAAAAGATTTTATTGTTTTTCTCGTTTATGAATCATTATTGAAGAGTAAATAAGTCATTTAAGATGACTTTTTTTCGAAAATTCATTTATTTAATCAAATTTATGATTGGACTACCATTCAGGAAATGGACAACGAATCTGATGAATTAGAGTAATTTTTGGGCTCCAAATTGCTTTATAGAGCAATAAAATCATCATAACATTGAAAGTATATCATAATTTTATAGATTTTTTTACATTTTAAATAACAATTTTGAAAATTCTCAACCTGCAGCAAAAAAATTTTTTTCGCCATTTTCAGCACCTTCAGAAATTTGACCATAAATTTTGTTTTTGAAAAGCAATTGCATATGTTTCTTAAGCAAAATTATAGCTCAAGACATTATCTATCCAACGGTACCTTAATCTCTTCTAATTTTTCACTCCTGACAAAGTTATGACCAAAACTACCACTATTTGTTTTGCCAACCTGCAGCAATGTCCCCTACCAATTGGTTCGTTACCAACAAAAATTAATGATAATTTAAAAAGCTAAACTGTTATGTTGTTAGTGGTTTAATGATAGCAGTTGGTAGAACTTGATGATTGATACGAAAAAGAAGAAGAAAGAGCAGAATTTGGAAGAAAAAATTTAAATTAACTTTTAATGGAAAATATCATCAGAGGACAAATACTTGAACAGATGCAAAATTGGATATTGAAACAATAAAATGCAAGAAAAAATCAAACGATTTTTCAATTTTAGTGTCCATTTTCAAATAGAAATCTTCGTTATTTTTCAGTCAATTTTAAAACTGAATGTGAAATGGAAAATTGATATCGGAAATTCGGATCGAGTTAAAGGTGACTAATAGGTTTGAGTTGGAAATGCATTTGATCCAGCAGTCAGTGTGTCTGCCAGATTCTGACAGTTCATATGTTCCCTTGTTATTGTGTACGTTGAAATTGTAAATGTTTGGCTGCAAAATTGAGAGTGTATGTGCCGTATGAGCTCATATTCTAATTTAGTACACTGAAATATACGTTTATCTGGGCTTCCATTCAACGTTAAAATGACAAAGTGACTGCAAAAATGTAACTTGAAACCCGCGTTTATGAATCATCTGTGTAGTCTCGTTGTGGCAAAGGGCCAATAAATTGCGTTCATTTCAATCGACTCATAATGAACAACAACAGACATGAAAAAAGTGTGTGTGTGTGTGTGTGTGTGTGTGTGTGTCCGAGACGTTCGTTGTCACTTGTGAAAAGAAACAGAATTTTCCCCGAAAATTAGCGTTTGCTAAAAATTCATTACAAAGTGGTCGGCTTTCAATTTGCTCTCTCAAAAATGTAAGTAGCTCAAGTCTCTATTCTGTACCGTTCCAATGACCGTTCGGTTTTAAATGTTAAAATAAAAGGCATGAACTTGAAATTGTATACGGTGTCTATAGAACATATGTTCGTGCCAAAAATATTCAATTTTAATTAAAAACGAAAAAGTTCGTCGTCGAAATGGGTTTTAATTTCACTTAAAACGATGCCACGCGATTTTATCGGAATTTTGATCCGTTTTACATTTTCTATTCGAGTTTAAATCACGTGTGGATTTTATAATTTAAATTCATTTCGTTTAAATGTCAAACTTTCATTCAAATTAATTCGTTCGTTGATTGAGTTGACAATTTTTACGCATCAATTCATTCATCAGTTGGTCGGTGTCGTATGAAATCGGGATGACGTATTGTTGTGGAACGAACGCTGTATTTTGTCGTTTGCATTGGCATCATATTTCCTTGCAGCAGTTGCGTCAATTGTCTCGACGTAAACACCGTTTGTTTTTTTTCACATATACATACGCGTACACACCCAAAGCAATTACAATTTTCATCTCATCAATAAGTGGTTTCTGTGTAATTGCGCCGTTATAATTGCCCGTGGCGATTTGAAGATCATCGTGCAAGGTCCTGTGAAAATGGACCTGACTTGACAGATGAGCCAAGTTAGAATCGGTGGCGTTTGACACGTTCATATTTATAGACGTGAGCATTTTTACGAATCGGGTACGAAAATTTTATTAGTGTGAAAGTAAATATTTCTATGACGAACGAACGCCAGAAAAAAAAAAACTTACACGGAAAAATTATTCAATGGCACATCGATTTTGAGCAAGATCAATATCTTCCTTAAACCCAAGTTGAGTCGATGGATGACGTAAATAGCACACATTCTTTGACGCCCACTACCGATTGCTGTTCCATTAGAATGAACAAAACTTATTTAAGTATGGTGATGCGACTCTCAGACAAATTTACCTTGTACAAAGTATTCTGATGAACCGGTTTTTCACAACAAAAACAAAACGAGCGATGTAATCGAGTGAATCTGTCAAATTTAACTCATGAGTTAAAACTATGGATAGTTAATTTGCATTTCTCTCGGTTAAACGGCAATTCAGATGGGTTTTATGATTGAGAGAATGTGTGAAGGAAAACACACATTTTGAAATCCAATTAAAATCCAAAGCGAATCTGACGCAGTTTTTACAGTTGTCGCGCTATGTATTCGTTTATGATATGCCAAATACTTACTTACGTTTAATATGTGCGATGCTTTTTTATCTCTGTTGAGCCGTGGGCGCAGATAAATTCATTGTAGAGAAGAAGAGAAAAAAACACCGTATAATCATAGAGCAATATTTTATAATATTATGTACATAAAACACTAATTAATTTCATTTCAGTTTTATTTGAATCGACATAAAATGAGTTTGGATTCGTTTCATTTGTTATTGTTTTTCGTTGTATTGTGATTTGTGGTGTGTTGATACAAGCGATTTAATGGTTTATCATGTGATGATGGTGGTAGTGTCTTTGGGTTCCTTGGATTCTTTTAGGCTGGCCGCCCTGCTGTTCACACTGGCCTGTCGATGCATTCGATTCTGTGACAGTCGCATCGATCTGGTTCGAGGGAATGTGCCCGTTTCGGCATCAAATGGATCGCTTAGCTGTGTCGTTAGTGCGGGCACGTCAAAGTCACCGGTTGTTTTTCGTGACAATTGCCGTGGTGTTGATGCTATCAGTTTATGTTGCCGCTTTCCGCACAATGTTTCCCGGAATGCATGCCGATACTTCTGCGACATCATATTATAAATGATCGGGTTGATGGTGCACGAAAAGTAATAGAAGAAGCCAGAAATTTTGAACAAATACAAATTAATCGTTTCATAATTTGGAAATTTCTTTCCGTACAAAAAGACAATGCGTTGTGCATGGAACGGTGCCCAGCTAATGAAAAATGTTAACACCACAACGGCTAACATTTTGATAATGGCACGCCGCGATTTTGACTGTTTCGATTGGCCAACGTTGGTCGGTCGTATGCCGAGCTCTTTGGTAACGGTGTGCTTTGAACGTGATCGAATTTGTGTGGCCATTTGATAATACAGCACAAGAATGATGAGCATTGGAATGGCAAAAAAGATAATCGTTGATGTTTCGTACAGGCCGATGGGTGCATTGAAAGTGGCACATAATGCTGATTCAGGCACTTCCGGTCCTACCCACGGTGGATATTCAATGTAGTCAATCGTGCGATAATATGCAAATGGTGTGGCACCCAATAAACTGATCACCCAAATAGCAGCAATAATCCGAATGGCACGTTTCAGACCGCTCATCGCATACGAATGCAGCGGATAGCATATTGCCAAAAATCGTTCCATTGAAAATGCGACAATTGTCAGTACGCTGACATACGAACAGGCTTCGGCGATTAATTTTTCAAATTTACAAAATGGCAAACCAAACATCCACGGATACTGATGCCAAAAGATGAGAATTTCAAATGGCAGCCCAAACAGTAGATACAAAATGTCCGATATTGCCAAATTGAAGAGATAGTAATTGGTTGCCGTGTGCATCGATGCATGACGCACAATTACAATGCACACAATTAAATTGCCCGCAATGCCAGCCAACAGTGTAAACGAATAGACGAGTGTCATTGGTATTGCATCCCATAAATCCTGCATTTGTCGACCGCGTTCGTGCAGTACAAAATCCGCCCGTGAACAGTTGAACGTTTCCATGTGATCCTCATCGCATGCATCAATCGGTGGCCCTGTTACCGTCGCAACCATCGTATCGATAATGTCCGTGCCATTGATGCTGATACCATCCGTGCTCAGCATGTCACCAATTGAACTCAGCATATTTTATAGCCTGCACCTTTATTTAGGGATATTGCTGTAATTAATCTAAATTGGAAAATTGCGTTGTTGAAAATACGGATATACTTTTTTTTTTTAAATTGGGGCGACAGAAAAAAAATTGCGTTTTCATTACCTCAAACAAAAAACCAAACACATGGATGAATAAGAATGTTTATCCAGAAATGTTCTCCTTCTCACTCTTTTTCTCGCGCGTCGTCGTTGGCTATTGAGATACACGGTCACTTTGCTCCGACTATCACGACACAATTATCAAAAATCGCTCTTCTGCTTCGTTGAGGCTGACGTGTTTTTCATTTGAAGCCGAGATTAAAGTGTCTCGTATCGGTGTGCTTCTATCGTTGTTGGTTTTCTCTCTCTCTCTCTCTCTCTCTCTCTCTCTCTCTGGTCGTTGCTGTTGCTGTTTTTTTCCTTGTCGTTGTAGTCTGTTGCGTCTCTGCACGAAGTTTTATCTAAAACATTTTCTCTCTTCGTTCTGTACTGTATGTATCTCTTTAATAACAATGCAAATAAGATCAACCTTTATCTGGTGTCATGAGCCTTGAAAACATCATCATATTATTCCTCTTTTTGATTATAGTAGTTATAAATTTTTTTTCACTTTTTTTTTCTTTCGTCGTAGAAAATAACAACTTTGTTATGCACTGTTTTTCTAGTTCACTGTTTTTTTCTTCACACGCACAACAGCCCGAGTAGACTGACCGTTTTTTCTACGCGGAAAATTTCCGTAGTCTATCCTTGAAAATACAAATGAATTGATTTCATCCAAAAGTGTCCACTTTCCATTCGTTGACTAGAAAAATATTTCAATTTTGGGCCGTTGTACAAATGGACAAGTTATCATGGAATTATTGCAGCAGCATCACAGAAGCAAATGCACGGAAAATCAAAACGACGTCCATAGAATTTAACGATTCGATGGCAATGTTTTGCAAAATCACAATCACGTTTTAATAGTCACCGTTTATTTTCATTTCATGTCAAACACAATGAAACTAAAAAAAGCACAAGAAAAACTGAAACTCGAGCGAATAATGACTACTTAAAATGATGATACCAGGTAGATGGCAATTTGTTATCGAGGATGCTATCACCGATTTCTTGTCTATATTAAACCAAAATATAAATGCAAATAAGCGCGTACACACAAGCAATTATCCATGCGAATGGGGAAGATAGAACGCACCGAAACCAAAGAAAATTACAACAAGATAAAGATAATAACAATGATGAAGGCAAAAAAAGGAAACACACAGAAAAAAAAAAACCTAGAAAACAATAAAATGCGAATAGTATTTGTGAGCGAGAGCGTGGACACCGACAATTTGCCGTCTTGCGAGTGAAGTGCTGATGTGAACACACTCGCGCAATGAACAAATGAAAGATCTCAGCATTTTGTCAAGGCATTGGCACAGCAAGCAAGCAAGCAACAACTGTGACTTGTCACTTGGCTCTACACCAACAACAGCAGCAGCAACAACAATCCATCAAATTGCCGTTTGTACGGCTCATTCAATGCATTTTACAACTTACCTACGACCAACAACAACGACGACAATCACAACGACGATGTTTTTTTATCTTCATTTTATTGTGTGGTTCTATTGTTTTAACCATGTTTTGTCAACATGGTAGCTACAACAGTCGATGCTTGGCTGGCTCTTTCGATAACGAACAAACGAACGCGCGTATCTCGTAAATGATTTATTTATGAATTCATCTCACCGATAAACATTTCATTCACAGTGATGCACACACTGAGGTGTAAGGTGTCGCTCGTTTGTGGACAGTGTCAGCAACAGTACAAACGACCGAATGGAACCGAATCGAATAGAATTTCTCACAATCTCATTCTCTCATGCGCTCTAGCTCTGTCTCTCACTCTTCCCTTCTCTATCCGCCCGCCCCATCGAAAGAACCGGCTACGAGCTAATGCTTAAAATGAACGCAAATATGCTAATGAGAATCATAGAACAATTAGTAAGTGGGCATTTGAGTTGATATGAATATTCCTAGTCGACTGACATCCATGGTCTTTTTGTTCTAACATTGGTGACGACGTTAAATATAATGGTTTCGAATTTCGGATATTCTCGACGTGTAATTAAGTAATAACATAGAAATCAAGTTATTTTTGTTCGGCATTGATTTCAACGAATTTGGGGCTGTCATCCAACTGACGCCAAAATGTAGCAGTGTTTTAACGGAGACAAATTTCAATTCTGAATCGAACGGAGTGGTCTTGTGATTAATTAATGCCCACAGCTGCTGTGAGTTGCCAATTTGCAAACTCTGTCTCTCTCTTTCTCTCTCTAGATCTCTTGCTCGCTCTCTCTTTTGCTCTCTTGCTCTCTCGTTGGCTTTTGGTCCCATTAATGCATCCATGTCTAAACATCGCATTCTTTCGGTGTCCGAACACATTACATCACATTAATGGTCACCATAAATGCAAATCATGCAACGTAATTCTATGCAATTTATACGCTTCGCTGACAATTTGAATAATGCGCTTTAATCATTGGGTCGATTTTCTATAAATGCCCACCACCAACATGATTGTGTTATGATAGAAAATTATGAGTGTGTCATTATTGTCGAGAAGCGACAGTCTATGTGACAAATGTGCTGTCTCCTCATATTCAGTTCCGAACCATTTCATTCAGCCCGACCACAGACAACTATCAATTTTGTACCACTGTCCCTTGTCTATGTCCGTTGATTTCGTTTCAAGTGTGTTCACGCATTGTGCGTGCGTGTGTGCGGTTTCCAGTACAATTGCCTTTAATACAGTCGCATCTAGTCAATAATTATGCGATAAAATTACACACATCCCATTCGGTCGGTCGGTCGGCTGACCGGGCCATGGAGCAACAACATCCGAATTGGATTGAATGATTGGACTCTTGGGGCCAAACACATTACTGCAATCGAAATGGAAATTTACAACGTTTTTTCTTCTTTTTTCTTTCTTCTTTCTTGAAATCAGGGTTTCAAAGAATCAATCGCGTTCTGAACTGAAACAGATTGAGATGATGGATCAATGAATTGTCTTTGAACCAAAATCTGCGATTAGAAAACCGATTTTTAAAATCCATTCAAAATTAATGGAAAACCAATTTTTCGAACAGGAAGCGCACATTTCATCCGTTTCATAATTGTGAAGAAAAAAACCGTGTTTTCAACCGCTAATGGTGATATGCCGAAAAACCATAATGTTCAAATCGTTGCGGTGACACAGACATAAGAACTAACCAATTTAGTTGATTTCATTTGACGTTCGCATATTGTTTGGCATTTTCATCGCATCGATTCCGAAGCCAAACTGATGGTGTGATTGAAATGTATGTATGCGTGATTGTGGCTATAGAGTGAGTCTGATATTCGTGTTATTGTGTGTTGCTGTTTGGTGTGTTTTTTTTCTGTTCATTTTATTTTCATAATTCACAGATGTTTGTGTCCGTGTCGTGTGCTGCATTCAATACAATACGCACCGAATGTGACGGTGTCACTGTGCGTGTTTTGGTGAACGTTCATTCGGAATTGGCTATGTATTGTTCGGCGATAAGCGATAAGCGATAAGTGACGATCTTTGTTTTTTTTCTTGGGTCGTACAATTGAAAAGTAAATAAGAATGAAGTTGACACATCTTTGAGCAGTTAGTTGATTTGCGGCAATTGACACGAATAATCATCAGCTAATTAAAATACATACGGCGACAACGATAATAAGTGGTTGTAAAAATCAAACAACTAAATAAAGCGTTTTTTTTCTATCTCTCTACAATATTTATTGTGTTTTCAACTTGAAAAATTGTTACTTTTAAGTGGTTTGATTGAAGTGGCGCAAACATTGTCAATAGTATCGATTATTATTCTCAAGAAAGGAAAACGTGTTGAACAAAAAGAGCTAAATCATGGGAAAAGTGCAAATTGTTGAAGATTCATTCGGCTATATGCAGAATCCGATCACCAGAGATGGCGAACAAGTGAAACGATTCACATTTAGCAACGATAATGTTTCGATCAGCTGTATCACTTATGGAGCGACGGTGACATCGATTCGTTGCCCTGATAAATATGGCAACATCGCTGACATTGCACTCGGTTTCGATGAATTGGAAGGTTATATATGCGAAAGAAAAAAATACTGCTGTTGTATTTGAACCAAAACAAACTCAATTGTTGCTCACTTTGTTTCACTATTGTTCAGGCTATCGTTCAAAAACGAATCCATATTTTGGTGCTTCGATCGGACGAATTTGTAATCGCGTCGGGAATGGACGATTTGATTTGAATGGACAACACTTTGAAGTGGATAAGAATCTCAATGGCGTTCATCAATTGCACGGCGGAACCATTGGCTTTGACAAATTCAATTGGCAAGCACATCAATTTGAATCGAAAGTTGTGATGACTCACGTAAATCCAGACGGTTTTCAAGGTTATCCAGGCACCGTAATGGTTCAGGCAACCTATGAACTATTCCCAGATAACACTTTCTCCGGCAAATATACAGCTACCGTTTCGAAGCCAACACCCATAAATTTGACAAACCATTCGTATTTCAATTTAGCCGGCCACGTAAGCAGAAGTCCAAACTTTTATTCAATTTAATTTTTTCAACAATTCACTGTCATCATTTCACGCAGGATAAAGGGCATACGGAAATCTATAACCATGAAGTTACTTTGAATGCTGATCGCTATACGATTACCGATCATGATTCAATTCCAACGGGTGCATTCCAAAATGTTTCGGGAACAGATTATGATTTGCGCGTTGCTCGAAATCTCGGCGAATCAATTGCCAAAATCACAAACAATGGCTACGACGACAATTTCTGTGTGACTCGTGGTACAGATCAATCGCTAGCATTTGTTGCTCGGTATGGATATCAAGTGGTTTTTTAAATAGAAAAAACATGACTTAGAAAAATAGTCGATAGTTTAAAGTTTTTTCATTTATTTTTATCATCACCTCAAATCATTGTCTTTTTATTGCATTACCTTCATTCCAGTGTAAGCCACCCGAAATCGGGCCGTGTGTTAGAGGTGTATAGCGATCAGCCAGGCGTTCAATTCTACACGTCAAACTTCATGCCAGATCCAAATAATCAGGTAGATTTATGACTGTTTAACACACGAATTTGAATTGCAGTACAATTAACAGTATGTTAATTGACACAATTTCCATTTAAATTACTCAAGTTCGAAAAAACTCATAAAAACAATTTTATTCAATTGAAATACATTGTTTGGTTGAATACCCATTAGAAAAAGTCAATGAAAAAGATTTATTTAATTCTTATGGAATTTATATAGATTTATCCTGAAGGTAAAAAGCGTGAAAATAAAGCACCAAGCGATGCAACGGAGCCAATCTTTGGCAAAGAAGGCGCACTCTATTTCAAGCATGGTGCATTTTGTTTGGAAACTCAAAACTATCCGGATGCTGTCAATCATGTAAGCTGGAACAAAATTATTTTTTTTATTTTTCACAAGAATTAAATCTTCAACCAAGAACTAGCATTTTTACGGTTTGTGCTTTTATTGTGTAGGTCGTTTACTTGTCAAAAATTGTTTCATATATGTAACACGGAGACAATTTGGGTTAAAATTCCTTTACTGATATTCTTTACGATGAATATTTGTTTTCATTTCAATTTTTTACTTCTATTTTTATTTTTTTTTTGAAAATGATCAATATCTTATTTTCATCAACAGCCAAACTTCCCGAACTCAATTGTAAATCCAGGCGATGTGTATAAACACGAATTTGTGTACAAGCTTTTCACCAGCTAAGCACTAGATTCGAAAAAGGAAACATTCCATTTCGAATGTTTGGCGCGCAAAATGCATTTATCTTAACTTTTAACGGCATAAAATCTTCTCCAAACTAATTTTGGTAGACATTAAAATCATGAATTAATAAATTTCGTTTGAAATAACAAAAACCAATTGTTTCAGCAAATAAAATTAGAGAATTTTAATTATTTTTTTTCTTATTGAAGAAAATAGTTTCACAACAATAAATTACAACTACAACTTACTTATTTCGAAAGTTGACATTTCATTTTCGAAAAAAAATCGTCCAGGAAGAAATAAATGAAAAAATGACCTTGTCTCAGCACTACTTCAATGTACTAGGAAATATAAGTAAATTCAATAACAATTTTGAAATAATTAAGATGCATTCATCAGAATCGCGCACATAAAATGCTATTTTTTCCTCAAGAATAATATCTGCGATAAATTTGCTATCAAGGCATTTACGATTCTGTTTAAATGCAATTTTCTACGGTCAGACTGACGATAGCAACGATGGTATACTAGTACGTGCCGTATGGAGGAAAAAAATTTCAATTGATGTAGCTATTAGTAAGTGCCCTTTAGTTCGAAAATACTGTGATGGGTTATCCGAATGGCGGGAAATAGTTAATAAAAGCGGTCCGATGGCGTTATACAATCAAATCGGAATACAACGTGACCACTGAATAACAACAATTTGCTTATCTGCATGTAAATGTATTGAATTCGATTCTGAAATTTTTGTGCTGCTACCTTCGGTTACAAAAAGATAACCCATGGAAAAAATATTTGTAGAAAAAAAAATAAAAAATAAATTTTCCAAGCCATTTTTAATATATATCGGAAAAAAATCATTAGCTTCTTTGTTCAGAAAGGAAATCAATCGAGCATATCTCAGCCGGCGACAGCAGGTGCGAGTGACGAAAGTCCAATAATAAGCATTCGATTTTATTACACGCGTCTAGAGTAAGATAGAATCAGTCAATAAGTAACGGGCACATTTTCCTACTAGAAAATCAGATTTCCACTTTTTTGTGCAATATGCTTATTTCGGGCAGGGGCAATTATAAGATTAAGCATACAATGCTACGTATATATGCAATGATGGAATGAAAAGAGCAAATTTTTCTTTTACACAAAGATCATTTAATCTATGGAATTAATTAAGTACAATTTTTGGCGATTCTTTCATGATGTTTACATAATTTTACTTTCATTTTTATATGTATCGTATATGTGTGCATGAGTGTATGTGAGTGAATGTGAGTGTATGTGTATGTATGTATATATGTGTTGGTCTTTTGTTAAATGCGACTGGCTCCAATATTTCAAATGTTTATGTTTTCAAAGCAATTTGGTATTCCTTGTAGTTGTGTGTTGTAATATGTCAAATTTGGGAGGCGTTTACAATAATAATAATTTATATATCAGAGAGGTTTAATTTGCTCATCCAAACATACACCACTGGAATTGTTTAAATTCATCTTAAGATTCATTTTGTTAAATTATTCGTTATCATTAAATTAGTTATTATAATAATAATAAAGGTGTTTTGTTGTTGTTGTTGTTGTGTAATATCTAAATTCTAAATTCATTAACATACATACATACATAAATATTATAGAATTTATTACGATTAATATTTGAATTATTAATTGTATTGTTTCATTGTTGTTCTTCTTTCTGTTGTATTCCTTTTCATCTTTATTAATTTAAGGTTGCATAAGCCTCGATACAGTCGCTCAATAGGAAAATTAAGTAAAATCGTGCATACGTTACAAACATCAATCGAATCACATATTGGAACGTGTTTTATAACAAACTCGCATTTATATCATTATCATTCGTGTGTTTATTACTGCATCTAATTCCTATTCTGTGTTTGTGTTTGCTATTCCAAAAACCACAGAAAATAGAACACACTCTACTCCCAAACCTGAATCAATATATAAATGAACCATTTTCTTCTTGTTTTTTTGTTTCACTACATACGAAATTATTATCGCTGCTAAATTACGATGCGAATTAGAATTAAAAAAAATACATAATTATAATTAAATTGTAATAAATTAAAATCACAAAAATACAATAGTTATACAGAAGACACAAAAAAAAATAAACGAAAGAAATGTAAACGATTGTCCTAATAAATAGTAATACTTGGTCGTTGTGTGTATGTGTGTTGTATGTATGTGTGTTGTATGTATGTGTGTGTGTTTCCATTTAGCTATATCTCTTTCTCTCTCTTTCTCTGGCAAATAATTCTTCTTACATAAATGTACACTTAATTCACTTCTTTCTTCTAACAACTAATGGATTGAATTTTTCAAAGAAATTTCCTTCTTTTTTTTTAAACTAAGACAAATTACTGAGAATGTTTATTTTTGCTTCGTACTCATTTTGTTCTTTTTTTCCTCGTAGAATTTTGTTTCGATTTTTCAGGAGTTTGAATCGAACCGATCCCGAAGATCGATCGATTGTAAATCAAGCCGAAACACTTGATTGAGAAGAGATAAATGGCTCAAGTGTTTATGTGCAATGCGGGACACGATCGAAATGTTGTATGTGTTTATATGCATGGGTCAATGTGTGATGGGCAAAAAGGTATGTATGTGTGGCATAAACACAATTAATATTGAAAATTAACACATTTTCACAACTAGAATTTCGGAACTTTTTTCTTCTTCCACAAATGTAAAAATAAAAAAAAAAATCGGTATGTGTGTGTGTGTGTGTGTCTGCCACGGAAAATGTGCAAATCCACAACCAAAAAACATGCACTCATGAATTCGACAACTGAATTGAAGAGACATTTGCTATTTTCCAGTTTTGCTTCTGTTCCGGTTTAATTTTCAAACTGTTCAAAAAATCGAACAAAAATACATCAATATATACAAAATACAGCGACGCTGCTTAAACTCACTGTACATTTCGACGTGTCAATTGTGTGCAATGGACTTAATAAATTCAATCTAGCGAAAACGCATGGAAGTCGACGGTGTGGAAAATTGGGCAAATATATGTGTGTGTAAGTTAAATAAGAAAGTTGAATAATTTCAAGAACTTGTCAAAAGTGTTGAATTGTTTGGTTCGGTAAAGATCAATCGTTCACACAATGAACGCATCTAATAGAAAATTAAATTTAAAAGAAAACAACTGATTTTTTTCTCTAATGTTAGAGAGCACGAAATACCTTGGTGATCATCATTTTCCGAAAAGCGTGCTCGCGCACACACACACACACATACACCTTAAAGAGAAAGACAGAGGAAAAACCGGCGATTTGCCCGCAAATTGACTCATTTTACCTGGTTTTGTGCTTGAGTATTTCTATCGGTGACAGCCAGACTGTGTGTCACATTAACTATTCATTACAACATATTACAATCTGAGAAAGATTAACTGGTTTTTGCTATTCTGTATGTGTATGTCCTGTGTGCTATGTGTTGGGTGTTGTACGCATATCCGGTCGATATTTCGATTTCTTACTAATAATAATTCTTCTCATTTGTCCCTAAAAGGAATTCGTATTGAACTACAGACTATGGCAATTCATCAGTCAAAATTGTTGTGTTTGTTTTTAGTTTCCCTATATAGGATATATGTGTGTATATGGTTCGATGCATGTTTGAACGTAAATTCCATTAAATTTTTCATTCGACAACAATGACAATTTTGTTTTTTCTTCTTTCGTGTATGATGATATTCAATGAAATTGGACTGTAAAGTGCTTAATTACTAACATTTAGTGAACAATTTTCAATTTTTTTCTTCTTCTTCTTCGTTTGCAACACAGAATGTAACAATTTTATGAACGCATGATCAAATTTGTAATGCTGGTAATAATTCCTTTGACAAATTGCATTCCATTTGTTCACACTGAAGTCGAATGGATCCGTTACAGAAAATTTATTTTAAAAAAAAACTCGAAAACAAACGCATTCAATGCGATCCAACATCATGGAATGAAATGGTCAAAGAAAAACTAGTTTCAAAAATAATAATAATAATCAATCCTAAAATGACCGACGAAATTATGATTCTTTAAATAAATCCAAATTTAACTAATATTTTTTTTCTAATTATTCGTTTAACTATCTCTCAACTCTCTCTCCAGAAAAAAAAAACGAAGTAGTAGAAATAAAACCTCAACATGCTTTGTTTTTTGTTTTAAAGTAGTTCGTATCATTTTTTTTTGTTGTGTTATTGTTACTTGAGACTTTAAAGATTTAGTGAGCTCATTCATACATTTGGTTCGATCAATGCTGAGAGGATGAGTTGCATCGACATGCAACCACGGTTGGGCGATTTATATATAGATTCGTGCGAGCAACGAATATCGTGCTCGGTGTGTTAGTTTGGTTTTTTTTCTTCTTCATTTTGTTGCAAATACCCAGGAACAAACGAAAGAAAAAAAAACGCACATTACAACTAATAATTTAACATCATTTGTGAATCACACACAAAATCGGTCATTATACTAGGGGCGGTGGTGTTCGGCTGTGATTTTGTAAACGCAGCTCACGTGGAACGTGCTGTGATAGGATCAATTGCTCTTGATCATGCGATCGAAGTGGAAAATTCGGACTGTCCAGCCCGAATTGTAACACTGGGAAATGCTGTTGCTGCTGCTGCTGCTGCTGCTTTCGATTGAGATGATGGAATCGCATCGGATTGCTGCCATGATGATGCAATCGAAAACGCATTTTCTGTCGATTTCGATGTAATTTATTGTGTGCGGCCAATTGTTGATTGGTTGCCTGGCTTGTGGTTAGCCAACGATTGAAATTGTGAGCTGGCCCGGTTGAATTGTGTTCACAACCAGTTTGACGTCGCCAATTGTCCAACACAAAACCACCGACACGTTTGCATTCATGTGCATAGGCGGCAAAACTGTCACAATAGCATCTACCCGATGGACATTCGCACATATCCTTTCGACACGATTCGAAATAATGTTCAGGATTCAAACGGCTGACACAGTCATCGAAAATATCCGATTCTCGCAGTGGTTTGCAAAATTGGCCGCCTTTTTTCAGTCGACATATTGGCGTTTTTGCGAGATTTTCATGCTTACGCGAACACGCTTTGATACCGCCGACTTTCCAGGAATTGGCAAAACGCCACACTTCATCATCGGTGTAATTGATGCCACGCCTTGATGTTAAATCGTCTCGATACACATTGTCTGCGGAAAATCAAAATGAATTCACGTTTAAATGATGAAAAGGAAAAAAATTATTTCAAAATATCCTCATTTGCAATTCTTTTTCAACGAAATCAAATTTTTGGCTTCGACAAATGAATTTCTTCGACAAAAAAATCGATTCAAAAGCATCTATACTCACTATAATTGCCACACAAGCCGCAAAGTTTCTTTTTATACGAGGTGGCTGCTTGAACTTGCAGAAAATTACTGCCATCCCACAGGAGATTAATGCCAATCTCAGTGACAACACTGATTCCTTCGTCTGTGCGCTGAATGTCCAGCATATTTTCGAATTTATACGGTGGTATAACGCGCGTTCCATTCACTTTAACGCGCATTTTCTGTCCAAGATTCACACGAACGGTGGGCATTTTCAGTGTAATCGTTTTTATCCAAGCCGAAGATTTTGTGCTGCGCGCATCGTTTGTAACTCGAATGGAAAATGTTTGATTCATACAATCGGCAGTCAATTGATACTTGCACGAACCTTGAAAGCTGAAAAATTTCCCATCGAATGTTTTATAATGCGGATCACCGAAAACGGTACATGTTCCGGCACCTAAACAAAATCAAACGAACATTTCAATTAGAATCTCAAATCATGAGCAGAACAAATTCGTTTGAAGAAATGAAATGAAAACAAAACAATAACGACTTACTCTCTTCGCAGCGTGCACAGCACTGACCGGCTGGTTTGACAAGCGTTTCGTTCGGTCGACATTTTGTAGTCGGGCATTTGGCTTGTGCACATCGAATTTCACCTTCGTGACAACGACACGATCGACACGAATCTAAATTCCATGTATCGTTATTCTGTGAAAATGGAATGGGTTTCATTTGTCTGTTTTTGCTCATTTTTATTCATTAAGTTTTTGAAGTCAACAATAATAGGTTGTGCCAAAAATGGGATTTATTTTGCGTTTCTTCAAAGCATTTCAAAGAAAAAATGTATCCAAAGCAAAACAAAGCATGAACACTGAATGGAATCAAAATTCCAAAGCAAAAAAAAGGCTTCACTCACCTGATAAGTTTTACCGTCATAAGTGCAGGTGGATCGGGCTTTGGCAACAGGCGGACAATGTGGGCAACATTCACCTGGTGTTAGTTTCTGATATGTTGGTGAACATTCGAGAACGGGACAAGTTTCGCGTCGACAAATCGATGTACCATTGACGCAGGTACATGTCGAGCATTTATCGGGACTGTAATGTTTGCCATCGTCATAAAAACCTTTGCCCAATATACAACGGCCGGGAAATGGTTTGATTGTGCGTTTTTCGCTGCATTTGGGACAACATTCGCCGGGCAGTTTAATTTGTTTCGATGGTGGACACTGTAGCACGGGGCATGCTTTTTTAACGCATGTCAATCGTCGATTAGAGCACGAACACTTCAGACATGGATCTTCGCTCAGTGTCACCTCACGTCCATCTTGTACGGTTTGACCATTTAAGCTGCATCCTGAAAGCAGAAAAAGACAAACAAAATCATCGATTATTTCTTCCACAGCTCTTGGGTATCTTCTTTTTTTTTCTCTATTTTATGACATTATTTTTGATTTTTCTGCTATCGTATTAAATTGATTCAAATGTAAGCTGGAGCCAGCCTTCAACCAAACTATATAAGTTTAACATTGTTCTACAGCGATGGCTCCAAACACTGCCCACACATTTTTTTCGCTTGACTCATTCAAGTCTTGGCAAATGTTTTGCTTCCCTATTATTTTTTTTTCTTCTTCTCTCACTGTGCTCGTCTATCTAATAAAACAAAAATTGCCCAGTTTTATCAAGTTTTCAGCTTATTTTAGTATTTGTCTGTTGGATGGTTTGTCACCGAGAAAAAGGCTATTAGACACAAGTTGAAATAGAGTGTGTCGCATTTGAGGTTCGATCTCGGCTGAATCTAAAATGCGAATCTTGATTAGAAGTAGAAAAGCTTTTCGGGTTTTTCTTTATGTATGAGATCACACCATCGACCAAACATCGAAAGTAGTCGACTTTAAGTCGTTGGTAAATCCAGAGAAAGAGAAAGAGAGACACACACATACAACATAGGACGTTGGTCAAATGATTTATAGCGCCTTTAGTGTCTTTTCGTATGGTCAAAGTATTAACAAACAATTCCAATTTATATGATTCGTTTATTATTCGAGTGTTTGGTTGCCTTTAACATCCATGTATCGTTTCAATAACTAATGCAAGGCGCTTATTCTGGCCGATGAAATGAAGAGCAACAACAACAACACCATATACAATCCTATTAAATGATTTTTTTTTCCGCTGTTCGCTTCATTCTTTTGGCTCTTGAATAGACATCTCGCCCATATAAAAATAATATATCAATTGCATCGAATAAAGCTTCCAGATTTGTGTATGTATGTTTGTGTTTGTGCTTTTGTGTCTCCTCCATCTCTTTCGGTCGTGTGTCATTTTCAATGAACTGAAAGCAAACGCTGTTTTAGTTGTTTTCATTGAATTGGTTGACAAATTGTAGCCAGCGCATCTAGTAGCCAATAGTCGATGTGTGCATGTTTTGCGAAAAGAGAGAGGGAGCGAGAGCGATAAGTGATATATGGTGAGTAACACAATTTAAAACTGTGTAATGTTATTTACATTTATTTTTATGGGGATCATTTGTGTCGCCGTTTTTCGAACGCGCGCACATACATTTTTGGTTTGGGAGCAAAAGCGGATCTTGGTGCTCTTCTGCTTGAGCAAATAGCCATTTGAAGATTTTAATCGTTGTAATTTTTCTCGTGTTTTTTTTTCTTCTTCTCTCTTAAATTTATAATATTGATCTATGGTTACTTTATCAATGACGGCAAAATAAAAGTGTACATAACAACGCGAGAAATGTGTGCGTTCGCGCTTCTCTCCCTCGGTTTGCCCATTTCCTATCTTTAGCTTTCTTTCATTTTGGCCATTAAATCGTTTCGGTCTCGATATCAAATAGCACAAATCGCCATTAAATATTTCTTTATTATTGCGAATTGTATCCTTATATCACATAATTTCGTTTCTTCTTGTTTTCGCTCGTCGTTATTGTTGTTGTTAAGAGAGTGGAGAATGAATGAGTGAGTGCGTTTGGGTTATTTATATTCTTATAGCGATTGCATTTTCTCCTTTTATGATTCCGGTTTGAATTATTATTGCACTCTTAAAAACACATTTGGTTTTTGGGATTTTCTATATTTCAATCCTTTTGAGTGTGCGTGTGTGTGCATCGTACAAAATCTTTTCATCGATTGTACTTCTTCCTACGAGCGTGCACATCATTTCACTGTTTCGTTTCTCGTCTCTCTTGTTCTGTCCCTGTGTGATTCATTCTCTATTTATCGGGCACGTTTGCACGATTAAAATGCACGCTTTTTATGGAACAATTATCAAGTCATTTCTTTTCAACAATCGGTGTTGTAGTCGACGGCTGCTGTGCAAATGCGTAACCAAATAAATACCGCTGTCGCATTAATTTGTTCGCCTTTTGTACGTGCTGCTTGCCTTTTTTTCTCTTTTCTTCTTCTACTTTCCGTCGTCTCATTTTGGTTTTGTAATTTGCATATACCACTGACAAGAGGTATTATGGCATTTTCGAACAAAAAAAATGCGCTTGTAAACTTACTGAAAATTGATTTCCGTATTAATGGCATATAGTTCTTGTGTTATTTTTTTCCTTCTTCGGTTGTTTGGTTTGTGTGTTTATGTTCGGCGAGTGTTTGTTCGACACACAACACACCACACAGCAGCAACTTGAGAATGGCAGATTCAACGAGTAGCGGATTCTAGAGACAATTATCCATGTCCAATGAATGCATGTCTTAATTTATAGCCAAACCAATAAAATTTAATTTATTGCCAATCGTTTGTTATTAGTTTTGGTTTGCTATCATGAACAGTTTTTCTTTTTTTGATCGCTCTCTCTCTCTCTCTCTCTCTCTCTCTTCCGCTCACTAGCTCACGTCCTCTCCATTCGCAGATTCGGACATTATCAATGCAGGCTGTGCGTTTTTGGAAAGTCCTTTTGTTCCGTTTGTTTGTTTTTTTTTCATTCATTTGGGAAAAAAAGCATATAAAAACGTAGCCAAACAAGAGAGGGAGAGTGCGATGCGCGTGCTTGGGTTTATTCATTCGAATTCGTTGGACATTTCGAGCATGGAATAAATTGAAAAATAAAAATGACACATTTTATGGATGGTTCGTGGGTTGGTTGGCATGACTTTTGCCACCGCCGCAGCCATCGTCGCCGTCGTCGTCATCATCATTTGTGTATATGGAAGCTGGTTCATATTTTTTTCACTCTCTCGCTTGCATTTTACAATAAAGTCGCTTTCAATTTGTTCCAATAAATCTAGATGTCGGATGCGATATATCAGCGATTGAAATCGACTGAAAATCCGTATCCGAAAAATTGAAAAATCGGAAACAGTGCAACGAAAATTGCATTATCAATTGCCAAAAAATAACTCTGTTTCGTCGTTCCTCTCTCCCTATATGTGTGTGTCTCTTTTCGAGTGACATTTTCATCCTGGCATAGATTTTCCGCCATTTTTATATATAAGCTAATAACCGCATGGTCAATTGGCCGCAAATGTGCATTCCACTAAAAGAGATAACATAAATTAAATGTAATAACCGCCTTAAAAATGTGATACACAGCGGGCTTTAATGAGCTACTCTGCCATCGGCGAAATTCCAAACGAAAATATGCTTCGATCATTTGTGAGTAACACAGCTGCTTAAACAGACTCGATTACAATCGTTCACAAGGCAATGAATGGAAGAGATCCTCTTCTCTCCCTATCATTATACCCAGTCAATAGAGTTAAAGCGATTGACGTTGTGTTTAGCTCAAGGCATAAAATATAAATGAAACTTCTTTTTTTTCTTTCAAATCAAATGCAACATAACGGAATGCTTCACATCACCCTCTCGCTCGCTCGCTGTCTCTCTCTCTCTCGCCTTCTCGCCCGCTCTCTCGCCACATTCATTCAAGAACTCATCTTTATCTCCATTATTAACGATCATAAAAAGGGCCGGTTGTAAAACAAAACGGCAACAACAACAAATCACCACTGTATATGATGATTGAATCATCATGATCATGAACCCGAAAGACCGCGACTACTTGGGCGATTTTTTTCCCGTAGTGCATTGTGTTGTTGCTGCTGCTGCCGCTGCTGTTGCTGCTGTTGCTGCTCTGCGTTGTGTGGTGATCGTTTTCTTCTTCTTAATAATTTCATTAAAATGCATTTGATTCGAGATTCGTTGTGTGTGCGTGCGTGCGACCAGCGTCGATTATTCATGTTCTGTCAAATTTTCGGCGGTCAGGCTATTATTAACGTTATTAGATAATTTATACGTAGCTAAAACCAAACTTCGTGTGTTTTTTTTTCTCCCTCATTCGTGTCTCCTTCTTGTTGTTTCGATTGTTTTTTTTTTCTGCTTCGAATGAATATTGCTTTCTGTTTCTCGTTTTCTCCCTCTTGCTCTGCCTTCTTCTCTCGCGCCCTCGCTCCAATCGAAATGAGCACCAAAACCGCAGAATACACGTATAACGAACGAAGCAAAGGCGGAAGAGATGAGCAGCAGTGAGGCGAGGTTAAGTTCAATCAAAGTAAAAAACGAAAAAGCAAACAGAAAAACGTGCGACTTTGCCCGACCATCCTTTGCCAGTGCAATCGTTTGCGCAACAAAGTTGAAATATTGTTTCATAAACAGTGAGAAGAAAAAAACAACGCGCGCACACACCGGCCGGTACACACACACACACACACACACAAGTCAATGGGTGGTTCTTTTGCTGTTCATCTTCTTCTTTTCTCATCGTGTCTTCTGTTAGTTTTCGGTAGATTACTTCATTATTTCGCCATACGATTTCTTCTTCTTATTTTTCGCTAAATTGTAATATCGATTATATTGTAATAAAATCGTGCAACATTGAATGCATTGTTCTATTTGGGCTGAGGCATAGTTTTATCCGGGCAAGTTTTCGCTTAAAGACACACACACACACACACACAGCGAGAGAAAATCAAAAACAAATCGAACAAATAGCAATAAGATATATTTCATATTCCATAATTAGGGTTCAAGAATCCATATTATTTTTCCTCGGTTGTGGTGCTGTGTTTTTTTCTCTCTCTCTCTCCACATTTTCCTTCTTCTCTGCATTTCTTCTCAAATGAATTCAAAGAGCAATAAATATTTGTTAAATTATTTAGGCGAATGTTTGTGTGTGTTTTTGTTTTTGGAGAAGAAGAGGTAAAATATAGTGATAGTCTGAAATGAAATGCGTTGCTGGTTGTTGTCAGGAATGATGATGTCTTTACAACCCCTCCCAATCGGTATATGGAGAGTGCGGTGCATCGTTCAAAAGCATTCCTTTGGAAAACTGTACAGGTGGTCCAAACTCCATGGAATATACATAATTTTTGTGCTCGAACTGAGTAAGAGAGCGAGTGAGAG